AGAAGCGTAGCACGCCAAAAAGCCACCCGACAAATAACCACCCGACATAAGGCCACGTGATAACGACAAAAAACCATTCGACAAAACGCCATCACCAAAATCCGACAAAATGCCACCCGACAAAAAACCATCGTACCACACTACCAACCGTAAATTTGCCAATGAAAATCGTACACTAATGAATCGTCAAAAAGCCACTCGACAAATAACCACCCGCCATAAAGCCACATGTAAACGACAAAAAGCCATTCGACAAAACACCATCATCATAATTCGACAAGAAGCCACTCGACAAAAAACCATCATACCACACTACCAACCGTATAAATACGGTAACATTATCGTATTAATACGATAAAAATATCGACAAAATGTCACTTAAATTAATTATCAAAATGAATTAAGTTTTTGGCGCTTGATTTGAAACACTAATCAGATAATAGATATTAAAATTTAAAACTCATGTCTCATGGCATAACATTTTAAAATGTCAGGACTCACGTCGTTAAGAATTTTCTTCAGTGCTTCAACATTTTCAAGTTACAAGTTGCGAATTATTGTTGATGATTATTAAATAATGTTCGATATATTTCAACATGAACAACTAAATTATAAAAAAACGTTAAATCGAAACGTTTAAAACCAGAAAGTAAGTACTTCTAAATTCTGAGTGGAGCGAAGAATGTGGCAACGATTTTCCGATGTGTTTAATACTAATTTTTTTTTGTCTGTAAACACCTTTCAGGGGGGGCACTAATAACTATAAAAACTAATAACGCATCAATTAAAATACATTTTGTACTATATATACTTTTCTTGTAGAAAGGGAATCTAGTTAGTATACTTTGGAGGGTAAAAAGTAAGACATTTCAGTAATTTTTAAAGGGGATTTGGTTAAGAAAAAAAAAAAAATATGAAAATTGAAATCTTTTGGTACCTAATACTTTTATATTTTTTGGTGTAACAGAAACTTTTAACTTTTAAGTATATATAAACGTTGTATATAAGTACTTTAAATTTCACCAAATATTTATATGATCTTTATCCATACATCATATAATTTTCAAAATATTTTGACTCTTAATGAGCTATTTGTAACCATCAGAAATTTGCTTTCAATTATCGTTATTTACTATATATTATATATAATATATTAATATATTAATGGTTTATTTAACTTGCCAGTAAATAAAAAATGTATTAGTTGATATAATTAGATGATACCGTTATATTATTATTTATATTATCTAATAAATATATAGGTCCTTAATACAAAAACCATGTGTTATTGTAAAAAAAAGGAAAATACTCGTTTGACAACAACTTATTAGAGTTGAATATATTAGTTTTAATAATAACATTTAATTAATAATATAATAATTGAACAAAACCTTTGTCACAAAATATTTATAAAAAAAAAAAAAAAAAGATTACAATAAACAAATAAAAAATAACATAACATATTACCTGAGTTAGGGCAATATGTTATACAGTTTTTATATAACTTAATTAGTAATTAATTACAATATTTTAATGTAATTAAAATGTATTTTTTAGCTACATTATTTCATTTTATGAAACCTTAATATTTGTCAATTATTTTACATTTCTATATTAGAGGTACTTATCAATAGATATAAAATTAATAAATTAATAAACTGTCGACTGATAAACAACTTACAACTAGATATAGAACTTCAAACCTTACAACAAATTTGAAGATATCAATAAATTAGTTATGATTGTACATTTGTACCTACAGTATAATTACACAAAGAAATTTATATTTTATATATTATTTACATTTCTTGTTCATCAAAATATATTAGCATACTTATTTTTATTTAATACTATATAACATTGAATACATATATCGTATTAGTTTAAACAAAATCTTGGTCACAAAATATTTAATTAAAAAAAAGATTAGAATCAAAAGTGAGAATTATTGTTACCTTAACCTTAGTTACATTTGAGTAGTTAGGGTAGTGATTTACAGTTTTTATATAACTCAATAAGTAATTAACTATGATATTTAAAATTGTGTTGAAACTATATTATAGGTGCATATTTAATTTCATATGAAACTATCAAAGATTTAAATAATTGGTACCCAATTATAGTTATAATTTATAATAATATATTATATATTATAATTATAGCTTATATTTTAATATACAATAAAAATAATGACAAAAAATAAAATTAATGAAAAACAAATCGATTTTGTATAACTTGCTTTACATACTAAACGTCATCCTGAACAGTATACAATATTTAATCATCCTGAAGTTCTCTGAACCTGGAAGTTAAATCAATACCTGCAAAATAACAAAATAAATATATATAAATTCAATCTTATGAATACTAAATAAAAATAATATAATACAATCTTTTTTGAATTTAAACACGCAGGTAATATCAATATTATAAATTTAATATATTTTTAAAAATATGCGTTTGTATTCTAGTATTCATTCAAATAAAAATGTCAGTGCCTAAAGTGGAAAGTGAAATATATTATTATTATAAGTGAGTTTTAAGTACTTTTTAAGTTAGCAATAATATATTTTATATTTTACTAATATTTACTAAGGTTACTAGAAGGCATGTTATTGTTTACAAACTACTGTAGAAATTAATTTTACTAAATAATAATTTTGAAATTATGTTTAATGCTGATGTATGTTTACTATTTTGTTTATTATTGACATCTGCTTTATGTATATTTTCTATTATTACATTATTAGGTACCATTCATACCTTATTGTTGTTACCTACTTTAAAATATTTGTACGACTAATGTGGTTTCTATGTTACAAATAGGGCAACGGTTGTGGATTAAATTGCCCAAGCAATCTCTGCACAAACATTTGTGTCCACAGGGAATGCATGCATGGCTGTTTACATTGATTAAACAAATAACACAGCAATCGGCTGGTCTTGGTTGAACTTGATTGATATCGAGAGGAACATGAGGGATGTTTTCCCTGTCTTGAGCCCTCCTCCGTTCCTCAATTTCCGCCATGGCAATGAACACCGGATCATCATCCTCCTCCAATACAAAATCAGGTTCATCTAGATTATAATAAAATACAGGTACTTAAAAAATAAGTAAATAAATAACATTTAAATTAATAATAATGGTTACCGTTAAAAATATTTAATGCATTATCTTGTTCTGTTTCCATCTCCCTTCTGCGATTTTGTTGTTGTAAAATTAATTCTCTTAATTCATTTTGTCTATTAAAACCTAATTTCAAAATTGAGTTTAATCTATATTTGCTTATGAAACATCTAATTTATAAAAAAAATCATTAGGTGAATGGTAAAAATAAAATTCTACATGAAACTAAATCTCTTTAAATCAAACATTTAATAAAACTTATAACTATACCTACATAATAATAATATAATAAAGACTGCAATACATAATATTAGAGAGACTATAAGTATAAAATTAGCAACCGTTTATGAACACTTTTGTCTTTATACCTATAGTTTTAATGTTAATAATACTAATTTGTGTGGGTAATTAGGTCACCAGTTAAGTACTTTTTAATTATATTTTTAATTTTATTATTTAAGTAACATCCAAAACATTTAATACAACAAATTAATATACAATGCTCGTAATAGGAATAGGTAGGCATTGGACGTATTTTCATGGGGGGATCCCTGTGCATATTTGAGCAATTCTTAGCATATTTGTGAATATTTCGCATTTTTTTTTTTTAGTGCATTTAGAATGGTCGAAAAATCCTATTGGATAACATTCAAAAATATTTTTAAATAAATTCGGTTTGGGTAGATAGTATAGGCGCAAATAGCGCTTGAGATTTGGTGAGGCTGAAGCCTGAAAAGTCCTACTATTATAATATTAAATAAGCTTAAAAAAAAATCTAGAAAATATTTCGGAGGGCTGTTCAAATTGATGGTGGTAGCTTCTTCCTATTTGTGTACAAAGAAATGAAAATCAGAAGAAACCTATGTGGTTGGTTTTGTATTTGAATACCAAGTCTTTCTAGTCCTATACAACAATATATTAACAATTGAACATATATTCGTAAGTACTTAATGGTATTATTTGAGCTCAAATATTTTAATTTGATAAATATCAAACCTCCAACAACGTTATCTTCCACATTTTCAGTAGGAATCTGTTCTGAAATGTTATTTAAACAAAATAATAATTAGATAATTGCATATTGTCATTGTGAACCATTGAACTGTGATATTTTAGTTATTTTTTTATTAACCTGCAATAGTTTCCACGATTTGGGGTGGAACAATCCCAACGTTCCCAGCTCCACGCCTTCGTTCTAGAAATACAATTTTTTAATGTAAATATTGTATGTTACGCAAAATGATTTCTTTTATTTACAGTCACTTGAAGATAACTAATTATTGTTTATTTATTTTATATGTATATTTCATACCTGCATCATAAGCCAAATGCCCAGTGTAGAGGAGAAATTCTCTAATAGAAATCCTGCCCTGGGCCAACCGTTCAGTGGCTTCTCCGATTTTTTTGTCGATTTGAACATAAGCCCGACGTCGGGCTCTTAGAGCTGGTCTGCTTTGCATCCTCTCGTACTTTGTGCCGTATTCATGTTCGATTTTGAGTAATGTTTCTATTGATATTATTCATTGAAGTATTATAATTTATTGCATTAGTTAGAAACTAGAGTGGAGTATGTATATGACTTCCGATTGGTTTGGAAAAATACTCATCAATTAAGGAAGAATAAAGTACATTATTGAACATAAATCATAATATTTTAAAAACAAAGTGTGGTTTTTGTCAATCGCATCTACCAGATAAGTTATATAAAAAGTTTGAAGTTACAAAAAAATATAACTTTTATTAATGTAAATGTTGATTTTATTATTTTGGTGATGTTAAATTTAACTTACTGGTAAAATGCCAAATACCAGGACGTGGACTATTCATAATAGTGTTTAAATGGCGGTGAAATATCTCCTGGTCGTTGTTTGTTCTCCTTGGCATGCCATGTACACAAAAGGTTTCCGGTCCAACACCTAATGTTAATTAATATTATTACAGATAAAGACTACTTAAGGTAGGGTTTTAAATATTCTGTTTAATTTTTGTAATTATGTTTAAAAAAATCTGCAACTGGTTTGACTGAATATGAAGACTTAAACTTACAGAAAAAACAAAGTTACGATTTATTTTATTTAATTACTTATGATTTAACTTTTAAAATTAGATACTTAGTAATCTCAATATATTCATTAATTTATAAGGATTCATTAAAAGAATAAATTGTGACTAAATAGATATTAAAACTCAATTTGTATCATAATATATTATTGAAATATGAAAATTTAAGT